TTTTTTTTTTTTTTTTTTTTTTTTTTTGTACCTGGGATTGAATTTGGGTCCTTGCACTTGCGAGGCAGGCGGCGGCAGCACTGAGCTAAATCCCTGACCCTAATGCTGTCAGTTGTAAAGGTTAGAGTTTGTTTCAACCTCACATCTAGCTTAGAAATGGCGAAGTACAAGCTCCCTGTCCATATGCTGATGATAAAACAATTACACTGGCGTCTCTCCACCATCTGTTTTTGGAAATTTCAAACTGCTAAGGTGAAATTGACTCAGAGTTGCATTAAGGATACCAGAGGCTTTTTTCTTTTTCAGTCTAGTAGTGTGATGTTCATGTTTATTTTAAGTCACTGAAACAAGGGCAAATAGTCACGCTAAAATTTCAGTCCCTATTTGATTTCTATCTTTATAACACATGGTAAAATCCCAATACAAGCTTACATCTTTAGTGTTGTAGGTAAGGTTATTTCCATTTTAAAGTGTTTTATTTGTTGTTAAAATGTTGCAACAGCTCCAGAAATAAAACAACACAATATCGACATTTCTTTAATTAAATATATCCAGTTTTAATACTCTAGTTTGATATTCATACAAATATACAATGTAATATTTTTTGGAGCTTGGTTTTGCACCTCCTTATAACACACTGTTGTTTTTTTCCTGAGGTTTTATAATTATTATTTACACGTGAGGTTTTTCTGAAATAAAATTTTTAAATTCTTCAGGGGAAATACAAAATTTGTAGAACACATTGCTACGAACTGGACTGATGGAACCGTCTCTCCTGAGCAAAGGCAGGGTTCTTTCTGTCTCTCTGTCTTACAACCTCCCTTACCTTTGCACATCCCAGGATGACGAGTGAGGACTGGAGAGAGGATCTTGGCCAACTCGGCTTTGACAGCGCCTCCAGTTTCCTCAAGAAACAGAACTGAATGATGCTCCTCTGGTAAACCTTGTGCCACCACTGCTTGCAGACGTGAATAGTGAAGACGCAGGTACTCCTCACCTTCTCACTGTTTATAACCTGGGGTGATAGAAGGTAGCGCATGAGTGTGGGCGGATGAGATGCCCAAGAGGAAGCAAGCGCATCCTTAACACAGCGCCAGGAGGGTCAGAAGCAGCCCCGAATGTCCCTCACTGCTGAGAGCCAGATGGGGTGGCTGGGCATGGGACTCTGCAACCCCACTTGAGCTTCTCTCTGTCCTAATTATACCACTGGTAAATACACAGAGCGGACTTTGGGTTGTTTTTGGTTGTTGTTGTTGTTACATTTTCTCCACGTGCAAATTTCCATTTCTGCAAATTTGGCCTCCTTAGTTTCTTTGTTTTCCCTTTATTTTAAATCGTATGTTGACTCATGAAAAGGTACATGATCCCAGTGATGAACGTAACCATACTGGATTCTTAAAAAGTACCAATAAACTCAATAGAATGAAAAAGAAGCAAAAATAATAAATTATATATTGACAAATTTTATTTGTGATATTTACAGGGGTCAAAGAGGGGCTATGATTTTTTTAATACAACTTGGAATGTTTACACTACACTAACATATTCATCACCTCAAATACTTAGGATTTTGGTAATGACAACTTTAGAAATTTTACTCTCCTAGTGATGTGGAAATGTATAGTACTCAATGATGTTATATTTAACATGCTGTGCAATTTATGTGAAAGAATACTCAGGCCTAGCAAGTAGAATGTGGCTACCAGAAGAGAGCAGGGAAATGGGGAGATGAACGTCAAGGAGTAAAAGCTTCAGGTAGGAGGAATAAATCACCCCCTCTCTTTCTGATCCCCCACTCCTTCGAAAAGGCTAAAGGTTTAGTGTTCGCATTACAGAATGTCTTCAGACTGAGAACCTGGTTAGGAGGTCTATTATACATGAGAAATCTTTTCCGTTTGCTTGTCTGTGTTGTACCGGGATGGAATCCAGGAGTGTGTGCAGGCCAAGCAAGTTCTCTGCCACTGAGACAGTCTTTCACTTCCTTGGTTGAGTTCATTCATTAGTATTTAATTTTTCTTGATGCTGTCGCAAATGGTAACTGTGTGTCTAATTTTGTTGTGAGTTCACTATTGCTCTACAGGAACACTGTTGATATGGAATTGGAATCCTGCTACATTGTTGGATTTGGTTATTAACTCTACAGCCTTTAGGTGGGATTTCTTTGGTTCTTCTATGTGGAGAATCTTGCCACCTGTGAATAATAATAGTTGACTTCTTCCTTTCCCATATGCATCCCTTTTATATCCTTCTCTTGCCTGATGGGTCTTTCTAGTAAATTGAGTACTGTCTTGTACAGAGCAGTGATAGTGGATATCCTTGTCTCATTTCTGATTTTAGAGGAAATGTTTTACTTTTTCCCCATTTGATATGATGTTGGTCATTGGTTTGTCATAAATGGCTTTTAATCAGATTGAAATAAGGTCCTTCTACACCCTTTTCTTCATTTTTTTAGAGATCCCGTTATAAGGGTACTAGTCTTACTCTTAAAAATTCTACCCTAACAACCTACTTACCCTTCAAATGCCCCACCTCTTGAACCATCACACTGATGTCTGGGATTGTAAGTCTAAATTTTGGGGTATACAAACATTTGGTTTACAAGTAGCTTAGAATATATAAAGATTGCATCTTGCTGGCGCTATTATAAACACGCACCTGAAAAATCTCTTAACGCAGTCGACTTCCTTATGGAAAACCTTTCCTATGCTGGAACATTTACCTATAAATATCGAGAATTCTTGGTCTCCCTGTTCATTAAATCACAACCCTGAGGTTCCAGAGCAGATGCCTCTGCTTTCCTAGTAGTTGCCCCTCCTCCAGCTCTGCTTTAAGCCAAAGTGCCTGCTTCTAATAATAGCATCCCTTCTACTGCGGTGGGTGCACTTCTTAATCTTTTCTGCTGCAGTCTTCCTGACTTCTCGTGTTCCCCTCGCTTGTCTTTCAGAGACATCATTGTTGTTTTCTGGGGTCACTCCTGAAACGCTACCAGCGCCCAAATCCTCAGTTTCTGCCTTCAGGGGAACCAAAACTGATATTACACTCAACCCGAATATCTGTCACTGACCTGCTTGTGTGAAGAGCATAAAACGATTTCTTTAATCTAGTTAAGGCTCAGAATTTTTCAGAGCTTCATTTGACTTTAGCCAAATTTATCTAATTATTTAAGTCATCAATACATGTGACTTTGAGGCTTACCGAGATTCATAGAAAGAAAACCTGATTGTATTGTTTTAGGTTTTCGCCTCTTGCTCATTATGGCAGAGTCGTTCTGTGTTTACTTGGCCTATCATGGAAACACAGTATGGAGTTGAGGGCTTTTATGAGTTAAAATAATGTTGGTCTAGGGAAAACAGTGGAGATAACAGTGATTTTGTGGTCACTAAACTTGACACTTGATAGCAAGTTCTTCTCATCCTGACTAACTACTCTTCCTAAGGCAGCTGAACTGTCAGGTGTCGCTAGGGAAAGTATTTGTGAAAACTGATTCAAAGTGGATGCTCACACAGCGTTCTCTAGGTGTGGGTGGGAAATCTGCCTCTAGTTCACAAGCTATGGTATCAGTACAAATCTGACATTTCTAAGCCTACTTTCTTATATTTATATATGCTCCTGCTGATCTTCAGGGACAATTTTCTTATGTGGACATAGTACAATATTTTTAATCAGGGACATGCTTGATTCTGAAAAGAGTTCACTTTTATGTAAAGTCAGTTGAATTAATTAAATTCTTTTGCTGTTCACATTTCCAGAGGGCTCCTTCTTTTTACCTCATGTCTGGACAATTTAAGAGCCACTGTCTCTTAATCCCGTCTTAAAGTCAAGTTAGACTACTAAGTGCAAAACATTACTTATGACATATTTGTTTTACACTCTTAAAAGCTGTCGAAGTCTGTTAAGTATTGACACCTGGGGTCTCATTCAAATTACTTTGCCATGAATGACAGTTGACTAAATTCTAGAGGACTTAGCTCCGGGCTTCCATGAGAAGACAGTTTCTTCTGCGGCTTTCATCCGTCGTGCACCATAGTTCAGAAGATATTGCTCACTCTAACAGGCTGTGGGTGAATGGTAGGTTTTATTGAAAAACTGGAGACTCATAGAAGCAAAGAATAAGTGAGAGGAGCTTGGGAATCCCGCCCCCTCCTCCCCCAGCTCCTCACGTGCTCAAGTGAGGCACGACGTGACCAGGCTTCTACGGCTCTTGCTCTATGTGCCTGTTCCAAGGGATGAAACTTCTCTCCTCCCACAAACTCCCCACCATTGTGTGCAAGCCTTGCAACAATGCTGTAAGAGGGGCTGTAGACTGTATGATGTGGACATGAGGTCATTTAAATGAACATAACATAAGTATACTACACCTACAGATTAGAAAATCTTGATCATCCTTTGGGGAAAAGGAAGACACCGTTGCTGGGTTTGAGTGAATCCTCACAGAAGCGCATACAATCCAGGTTCTATGAGTTCTTCTGATGGACTTCCAGGGATCTCTCCCAGGGTGACCCTTTGACAGTGGTTTTACCGGGTTTATTGCAGAGCTAGATCGAAGAAAAATTTAAAAGGTGTGCCTCACACTAAAAAATTCTTTCTGCCTTACCAAGCAGTGAAAGAGGGAAAGTGGGCCATTTAGCTAAGTAGCACATCTGAATCACAGCAGATGATAGCTATTCTGATAATGCTGTTGCAACTGTCTTCCAACACTCCCTCAACCAGTGTCTAAGCTCTAAAGTTTGGTTGGTCTGACATTGATATTTCAACTTGTTTTTTGATTAGTGTTTGTAGGGTATGCTTTTCTCCAACATTTTACTTTTAACCTAACTATGCCTTTGTAGATTGTTTTATGAAAAGCATATGGTTGGGTCTTACTTTTTCAATCCAATCTGACAAGATATTTTATTATAATCTATGTATTTAGGCCATCTACATTTGAAATAATTGTTGTGATATGTTTGAATTAAAATATAGCATGTTGCTAGTTGCTTTACTGTTTTCTATTTGTTCATCTCTCTTGTTTTTTTCTCTCTTCTGTCTTATGATAATTGAGCACTTTTCATGGTCTTACCTTATGTCCTTTAAAAATTTATGATTTTACTTCTTTGCAAACACTTCTAGTAGCTACTTTAGGTTTTACAGTATATTTTAAAATTAATCTGCTTCAAATAATATTATATTCTTTCATTTACAATGTCAACAATTTTCAAAAATATATTAAAATTCCTGTACTTCCATTTTTGTTAGTACTTTTATAGTATGTGTTATTTTAAAATAGGCTATAATTATGGAATACACTATTAAAATTTATTTTAGGCATTTTAGCAAGGTGTGGTGGTGCATACCTATAATTTTAGCACTCAGGAGGTTGAGATAGTAAAATTTCCATGAGTTCAAGGTGAGCCTGGGCTACATAGTGAGTTCAAAGCCAAACTGAAGTACATAGTGAGACTTGCCTCAAAAAATCAAATTTATTTTAGATATTTTAGAGAATTTTTACATTAAACTTATCTTAATTTGTGTTCATTTACTACATTTCTAATATTCCTTGTGGTTTTTGAAGATTCTTATTTCTGAATGATTAAAGTTCCTTATCCAAGTTCTTCTGCCTGAAGAACTTAACTTTTCTTATACAAAGTCTATTATCAATATATTCTTAGTCTTTGTTTTGTTGAGAAAAGCTTTTATTTTTCTCTTATTTTGACTGGCCAATAATTCCAAGTTCTCAGATTATTATTATTATTTTTTTTTAGTACTTTGAGGAAACATTTTACTGCACTCTTGAGTGCATGGTTTCTAACAATAGCATCCTTATTCTTGTTTTTCTGTGAAAAATGTAAATCCTACAATATTTCTCTGCCTTTGATTATTTCATGAGATTGCATATTTATTTGTATTTGGCATTATCTAAGTTTCTTGGATCTTTGGTTTAATACATGTCAAAAATTTTGGAAAATGTTTGACTAAATATTTCTTCAGGTATATATTGTGATCTATT